TCAAGTGAAACATATGCACTTGAGTAGAAAAACGTTCAGCTATAGCGCCCTTTCGGTGCCTAACTGCCATGCTATCAAAAAGAAGCACGAGGGGTGCGAAGTCGAGAGGCTGTGGACCTTCCGGTCATTAAATTTGTGCTCTAACTACTGAGCCATCTCTCACTTCAAACTTGTTCGGAAGAAAAAAGTGGACATAGGTCTAGTTGCTGGTCGTTCAGTCGTTATATTTTTGGATTTTAGCAATCATCATCATCAGGGCCTCAACAAAGCCTTTGCATCAATCATCATCATCAATGACAGCAACATCAGTGTTGGCACTGATGCTTCACTGCCGTACAACCATAAATTTCATCTAATTTTATTTAGAGCCTTAGAGTAAAAGGAAAAGAAAAAGAGTGGGTGAGGGAGGGGACCTAGTGCTGGTTTATGGTAGGCATCTTGAGGTGCTAACCCTCCAAGCATTCAATCGGACAAACTGGAAACCGACAGCACGAACACCAATGACGAGTCAACTGCCATTTCTTGCAATGCCTCCAGCCAAGCACAGGAGGGGTCACGGGACTCCATCCTGGAAGGCGTACGACACCAACGACACCCAAACTCTTCGCGATCTCTTTCACACCATTGCATCATACATTTTCCACTTCGCAGTTTGCACCATTCTGAAGTAGGAACGAAAAACAACACTCGTCTCGGTAGATGGTGTTTCGGCATGCATAGAACACGGCCGAGCCATCGTATTCGATGGACCTGGATGTTGTCCGCGATTAAAGCACCTGCTTCACAACCAAATACTCGTTTTCTAACCAACTCGTTACTAATCCCTTGACGCCATCCAAAACTAGCAACGCTTTAGAGGCATCGGTGGTCAAAAACCTGAGGACGCCTCACATCATCTGTCCGCAGAAGTTACGTCTCGAAGCCATGCAACAATACCGTTGCCGTAGTCTGGTACACACGATCCTTAAGACCCGGTGATAAGCCAGTGACGCAAACGTGATTCTGGCCTTTGGATTCTCGCACTGACTTCATCAGACATTTCCATCATAGCTGATACAACTGCCGAGGTATGTAAAACTCTCCACAACTAGCAGTGATTCTCCTTGAATTGTAATGGGTACGTTCAGAGATTGTATGTGCTGAAGCATGACTTCGCGGGTGCAAGATTTCTCAGTGATTAGAGTGCGACGTTACTGATAGGAAGGTTCGTGGTTTGAACTCGACCTCTGCCTCTCGGCTTCCCCTGTCTAGGCTTGGGCAACCTGGCAGTATCCCAGCCCTAGTACTTCCTTCTAGTGGCATTGCAGCTAGGTGCCGAAAGATGCTACAGCTGAACGATCTTTTAAGGTGCTAGGCACATGACGAATGATGGTATGACGGTGGTCAATCTATTCAACACGGCTTGTGTTTCACCTGGTCTTCAAAGATGAGGGCAATGTCGCCTGCATACTCCAGATCAACATGGTTATCGACAGCAACAATTGGAACACTGAAATTTTGAAGACCTTCCAGCGTTCATCTCATTACTTCACCAATGACCAATATGGACAAGAATGGCGAGTAAACATCCCACTACTACACTACTTTTTGTAGGGAAGCTTTTGGAGGGCTCACTATACACTCTCACACGCCCAGAAGAATGTGAATATATGGAGCGGATTACGTTTAAAAACATCCGGAACACACCCTGTTGAGCAAACGTAGTTAACAGCATTGATCGACCAAGACAATCGAACGTACCCTTAAAATCAAGGATGTCTATACATGTGGCGTTGCTCAAACACCTCACGGAGTGTAGAAATGTGGTCAACTCAGCACCTACCCTGTCAAAATCCCGCTTGATTCTCAAGAATCAAGGTCTAGCGTACCACCGTAAGACGACGAAGGATCAATGACACCGGAAACCTCGTCAGACGCCTGTGGTTATTACATTCACTGTGGGTACCCTTTTTGAAAATGGAAACTATTGATGATTCACCCCAGTTTTCTGGGACGGTCACTTTCTCCCAGATAGACCAAAATGGGCTAGACGGACACTAGCTGAGAAACCCACTGCCAGCCATGGATACAGCAGGCGGGAGGTCATTAGGACCGGCAGCACGGTGACCCTTGGGTGGAGATGTACACTCGGACACTTCTGGGGTTAAAGGCGACTACATATTCACAGTCCACCTTTCAGTTGAAGCCCAGGATTCCGGATTGGAGGTAGCAGGTGGACAGCTGAATTACTGTTCGAAGTACTATGCCCAGCGTTCCAAACGTCATTCTTTGCTAGATATCAGGAAGCCATTTTGGTCCCTGATCACTTCGTCCGCAAGAGGCAACGGGGACCAGTTGGGCGAACCAATTGCAACAGCGTGCGGACATTTCCACCATTTTTCACATCTTCCGTTTCTTCGTCTTTTTGGGGACCAACAAGCATCTCGGTTGGCGTTCAGCTGTGGCACCCCTTCGGTGCCTAACTGCCATGTCACCCGAAAGAAGCACGAGGGCTAGGATACTGCCAGATTGCCCAAGCTTAGACAGGAGATGTCGAGAGGCAAAAGCCGGGTTCGAACCACAGATCTTCCGGTTCGCGCTCTAACCACTGAACCAACTCTCGGTCTGCACGGGCACTCAGTTTCACTTGCGTCGGGTAGAATCGGAGTTGCGGTCATGCGGAATCTGTCGCCGAGCCTCAAGACATGGTCCTATCGGTGATCCAATGTTCGGATGAGGTTAGGTGGGTTGTACTGCAAACGGTTCTGGGTAGCGCTTTGGATACCTGATCACAGTGGTTGTTTATATCCGACATCGGACCGTCCGGCAGCCGTTCGATAGTTTCGTTTGATTTCTAAGTCCACTAGCTTCCCAAAGACTAAGCGAGATGTATGCGTTTTACGTAGTGAAAAACGCAGTGAAAAGCGGCGTTGTACAAGTGCACGGTAGGAATCCACGCTGGCAGGATCACCAGAAGGAACACCAAGTGGCGATCGACCCCCGCCTCGTCAAGCATCAATCGTAAGGAAGTTCAAGGCGTTCAAATCCTTGACCCGTGCGCGCTAGGTGTCAGATTGGTGTACTAGGACAGGAAAAACAGCCACTTGATGACCCCGAACCATAGTTGAAAGACTGATGTCAGTTCTGTGGCACTAAGTGTTCCCTATATAAATCAAGCATATAGTATATTCCGGGAACGCCTTTAATGTAATACCGGTCTTTATCCTTGATTAGAATTAAGGACGTCCTGTTTACTCAGAATAACTGCCTCGGCTGAAGGGCTGTTTCGAGTTCTGACAGCAGTCTCATGCACGAGTGGTGCTCACGTCTGCTGTACCGTTTGAAGCTGTCCTCGTTTTTGCGATATTTACTTCCAGCCTGGTCACTGCCGTGAACCGCTAGGGACGGTATGAGGCACATTTGATACTATGAAAACCTCACAGTACAAAATCGACATTGTAGACGGGGGTGGATATTAACATATTAAGGCCCGATTCCACTTCGGGATAATACCTAGGAGTCTGTTCTTTTACTGATCCGATAGCATACGTTTGGAGATGACTGGTTTTACCGGCCGAGTACGGCGATTTGCCACCTATTTGGAAATAGCAGTAGCATCAATATGTAATTAAATAAACCTCTAAGCATCATCATCAACACTGGTGTTTCTGCCGCTGACGATGACCATGATGATATTATAATTAAAAATTACCGAAATTCACTCAGGGCATTGAAAATTAAGAACTCACCCTCAACCCATAGCTGGTCGAAGTTCGTGTCCACTGTAACCAACTTGAGTCCAAGGCAAAACAATCCAAGGAACAAGAAACTGCCAAGTACTTTCCAGTGGTGAGTGTGTATTAACTTTTCGCATAATGCAGTCAATCACCATAACAGTATATGAAGTCTCAAGCACATTTTTGTCAGTCATTTGCTGTGCAGCTTTTCGTCATCTCATTACTGCTGTGCGTAAAATGATGAACAAGATTAGACGGCCCACCCGACCGTGATTTCAGGAGAAGTCAATGAACTTGGACGAGTTGGCATTAGTTCCAAAGGTTGAAGTGCTTGAAATTTGAAGTCCAAAAGATGCTTTCTGCTTTTTTGGCTGTTACCCCATTGATTATTAAGAAAACAATAATAAAAATAATCGTTTAGGTGCAACACCCTTTTGGTGCATATTACCCACGCCACCCGGATGAAGGGTAAATCCCTCCCAATCGTTAGTCTGCAGGGAAGCGTTGGCGGAGCTTTTCTTTCACCTCCCAAAGCTTAAAAAATTTTATATGGCGCAGTATTTTCACTGACTTTTAAGGCATATCGTTCCAAGTGTTCCAGAAGACCAACCAGTTGCGAACAGCCGCAGCACAGTGAGCCGCCGATGCCAGTACGACCGATTTCTAGAACTGCCTAGCTGGCATGCCACCCGAAGGAAGCACGAGAGTCGAGATACTGCCAGGTTGCCCAAGCCTGGGCAGAAGAATCCAAGATTCAGAGGTCCAGTCCGAACCACGGACCTTCAGGTCATTAAATTTGCGCTCTAACCACTGAGCCATTCGTCCCTATTTCTAGACTAGTGATGATGGTAAAGTTATCATGATCCACAACCCCGACATCTCGGTATATTACATATTTTTCGATCTTCCTGATCACTCACAGCGCAGGAGGTTTCTCCCTCGACTATTGGAACTCGTACAAAATTTCCGACTGCAATGCGATCCTGTTTGTTCCTGCTAATCAAACACATATGAGTATCTCTGGTCATTATGAATACCGGCTGGTTGAGTTTCAACGTTCGCCTACTGGAGCAAAACGCTTGCTCCCGGTTATTCTCTGCTGCATCTTCTCTGTGTACTTACGGTTTATGGTGTTATCCGTACTCACGCAAACTTCACAGTATTCATGCGCCCGGCAAAGTAAGCATCCACTCTAATCGATCTCTGTGAAAACAATAATAGAAGCCCGTCGCATCATCCCATCAAAAACGAAAGGATGCTCCCGTGATTGAGGTTTGGGAAGGAATGACGGTGAAGGAGTTGGCTGCTGTTGCGAACCGTCCGTCCAGTCGTCTGTTGGCTGCACTGAATTCCGGAATATTAAATTCAGGGAAGGCCTCTCTTGGTTCCAGTAGGTCTGGGCAGCAATTTTTCTAATCCACTACAGAATTGGAAGATCATAGATTATTAGTCGAGCTGGTGAAGTTGATGGGTCTGAGACCTGTGTTCAAGACAAATCCCGTTGCCACCGTAATAACCGACAGGGATGCACATCCAAGGTAAGATTTCTTTGTTATTCAGCTTGGTCCCAAACCCCCGTGTATTCATCTGGGAAAGATTAGGACAGAAATCAGTGGCATCGTGAATGAGACAACTCAAGTTTGTTCATGAAACGGCCGTCTCTAACTGATCTACAGTAACCCCTTTAACCATACTCAAAGCCACAGCTATTATTAAGCTAATACTGGTACCGTGTGCATCTGTTCACCGATACCTTGCCTACACCAGTAGCAATCACTATCGACTAGTTCGGTGTGAAGTCACTTTTTCTAACAGTTATTTTAAATCCGTCCATTCAATCGCGACTACTCGATGGATCCGATCCATCAGTTAAATGGGACATCCTACTGAATGTCACTCCATTTGTCTCCCTAATTAATGTGTACTGTCGGTCTGGTTAGCTTCAAGCCACGTGTCCCCCTGGGATGTGATCAAACTAGCAGGCGTGAATCGGCCGACCGACTGAACACCAACCGACTGGTCGCTCGTTAGAATAAGAAATTCTATGCATTCACTGTTGATTCCCCCCAAAAATCGTTATTTGATGCAGTCGCGGAACACGCTTTTCATCAACTACTCATAAGTAACTTGTTCTTAATCAGATGTGTACACCCGTTCCTACTCGACGAAACACAAACTCCTATTACTCGTTTGCGCATCGCCAACTAACACAGTATGCATGAACGTTGTCCAGTGTTTCATCCAGCTGTCCAGTCCCATGGCCTGAGTCCACTTGCGTGCCTCAACTCTACCCGTTTTGTTTCTTGTAGTATTTTAAACGCGATCCATTATCAACAGCCGCTAAGTCGTTGTGCCACTTCGTGCATTTTTCGTTTGTGTATTTACTACGAGATGATGAACGATTCGATGCAGCACGACACATCCGGGACTCTAACATACTCTTGTAAAAGTCCCCTTCATTGGGACGCCAGCGCGCCGGATCACTACACCACCACCACAGCCAGAAGGTCGTCTGTTAACGTTTTATTCAATCTTTAGTTCTTATAAAATTCTGTTCCCTCTCAATGTACATATTCGCTCCAATCCAATTCAAGCTGCTACATCATCGATACGAATTCCTGTGCCCGGCTAGCCGCGCTTGCCGTCTTCGTAATCCTACACTTTGAACACTGTCGGTACTGCTATAGACATCGCTTATCGATAACATTTAATTCGTGGTCCTTCCCCATCTGACATCCTACTGTCCACTCGCCTACACTGTTTTTGCTCGCTTCGACCGTGTGCTATCTTTACCGATCAATTTGTGTATACTACCAGGCTGCCCAAGCCTCGACAGGGGAAGTCGAGAGGCAGGTGTTAGGTTCGAACCACCGATCTTCCGGTCAGTAAATTCGCGCTCTAACCACTTGAGCCATCTCCCCCCGAACTTTGAGATACCTTTATTTACTATATTTCTTTAGCATACGTAAGCCGCTCTCGAGTCTGCGCTCTTCATAACTATCACACTAATCCAACGGTGTTCTCCCTCAAAGTCGGATCACCGTACTGAAATCTGGTCACGGTGATCTGCACTACAAACGCGCAGTTGCAGAATGGAGGAATGGAGTTAAGCCACCAGTTGCAACAGTTTTGCTCAAACAACCGGATGTGAATTGATTGATGGGGTCAGTCAGTAGTTCATAAGTTTAGCTCTAAATTATTGTGCCTCTGTTTATTTGTGCAAGTGGCTGTGGTAAAAACTCCACTTTCCGTTGGATCGTAAAAGCGTTAGCGCCTAGTTGCGTTCTGATTTCGCCATGTGTCTGAAAGAGACTTTTGCAATGTGTTCAGCCATGGGAATACCCACGAGTTGAGCCTTTAGCGGTCAACGCATTATTTTAGGAACACGTCAATATCTAGTCTAATAAACTGTTAAGATTGGCACTAAATCGTCAGCATCGGAGACAGTAACATCGGCGTTCACACTGATGCTTCACTACCATAGTATTATACAAACTTCAGTCAATTATACTTAGAGTTCTTAAGTGAAAAGAGTGCGGGAGAGAGGAACCTGGTTCTGACCTGTCACAACCATCGCCACACTGTGGTTGGTTTTTCGCTAAGTGTTGTGACTTGGTGGACGATCGTGCAACCCTGTATCGGTCCCTTGGCTTCCTAGTCCGCCCACCATGGTATATCAAAAGGCACGGTAGCTCTACACAACCCCTTATGGAGACAAAGGAGAATTATAACAACTGTATAGGGTAGTCACAGAGTGTTCCACAAGGTCGTGCCAGAATCTCCGTAAGGGGGCGAGAAGCGTCGAGTGAAAGATACTCGACTCGGTTTGACTGGCATTCTGACCAATCAGGGCATGTCTTCGTTTGATTCGTGTTCTGCAGGTGACACATCCGTCCAAATGAATTTAATGTTTGTTGTTAGGGGCGGCTGGCATCCGGACACTAGGGTGCGCGTATCTGACCTTTATGCACCCGGGTGGCAGACGCCCTGGTTTCCAGGGGCCTGTTAAGGATTCAACATCATTGGGCAGCCTGTATGGGTCAGTGTTTCTCTTAACCTTATCACTGATTTTTTTGTCGAGAATCTTTCCTCTTATTGGTGGTTTTGCATGCAGGTTGCATTTCCCTCGGTAAAGGTCTGTGGACCCTTGGTTTGCCCCCCCCCTAATTTAGTCTGTCTGTCGAATCAGTACAGTGAAATGTAACCGTTGCCGTGTGCTGTCAGCCACTTGATGCTATGGGCTTTGGGCACTGGTTGAATACTCATCAGAGATGACATACTCACCACGAAGGGGTTTCGGTCCCCTGAGCAGTCCAAGCTTCGCTCACTTATGGATTGATTGCATTTGAGTTGGGAAGAGAATGTTTCACTTGCTCGTGGACATAGGAAAACTATCTGAAGCGTGATTTTTCGTTGTTGCTCTTTATGGAAAGGTCGTTTGCCAGATAATTGGTCGCAGCTGTGGCTTTCCATGATCACGAAACAAACCGCATTTTCATTACCCCTCTCTTGTCTCTCGTCCACATGCAGGCCGCCAGCTTGTCCTGCCGATTGTGTTCCACGCCCACCGGTTGTTGCCGTTCTGGGACATGTGGATCACGGTAAAACCACTCTGTTAGACGCCTTTCGTGCAAGCCGAATGGTCGATGGCGAGTTTGGTGGAATAACCCAACACATTGCCGCCTTCACTGTCTCCCTGTCTTCGGTTGCCGTTCAGGCTGGTGTAGCTGATCTGGCCGATTCATTGTCGGACATTCTTTCGGACCACATTACTTTTGTCGATACACCAGGACACGCAGCGTTCTCAGCCATCCGAGCTCGAGGTGCCGCAGCGACTGACATCATGGTCTTAGTGGTGGCCGCTGATGACGGTGTCATGCCGCAGACTGTGGAATCCATTCGTTTTGCCAAGGAACAAAACAGTAAGTTGAACATTGTTTGTCAACGCATTTTGCGTACTGCAGAGTTGTACGGTGCAGTACTTTATATTCAACCCGCTGCCCTCCGTATCCTACTCTTTATAGGACATTTGTAGGTGTAACTGCATGGAAGTATTTTATTTCAACCCGCCGCCCTCCGTATCCTACTCTTTATAGGACATTTGTAGGTGTAACTACATGGAGGAGGTGTTGGGGATTTCCGAGCTGTTAATCTGCTGCCCAGGAGATCGATCTCCTTAGATGTATTGAGAGCTCAGTCCGGTTGTGACCAGATTGGTTATTTGCTTTCATTTCACGGGACTCCTCCTTGGGACCTAGGTGTGGTGATGTGAGTGGTCTCCGTAGCAGCCCCTTCTAATTAATTTACGTTTTACGTACGAACCACGTATCTATTTGTGGCCGTCTGCGAGCGACGCCGTTGCGCCGATGTTCTCCCTCAATTTTGTCTACTCGAAGCTTTATAAGTAGCTAGAGTTCAGCGCAGAATATTCTAAATTCGCCATCGGCCTGCAAAGAATCCGAGTTACAGCGATCTGTTCTTACCCCATAGTCTCATCTAAATTGGGCAATTCACTCGGGAGGTCGCCTTCAAGCCGTTATCTTGCTGTTATTGAGGTGACATAATGAACGAGTAATTCAGATGATACAAATGCGCTTGCTTCGCGTCCAAAACGAGTTGTCAGAATAAATAGCATGCGTTGGTACATATCTTTTATACTACTCTAAACGATGTTGGTTTTGAAACCAATGAAAGACCCATATAATGATCGTTCTTGGGCAAATATCATCCAGCGATATGGTTCACAGAGCAAACAAAATGAAATTTGTTTAGCTGCAAAACGTTTTAGGTGTGTAGCCGCCATGCCACCCAAAGGAAGCCCGAGAACTGAGGTACTGCCAAGTGGTTGAGATACCGGGGTTGAGTTCGAACCCTGGACCCTCCGGTCATTACAACAAACCTCAGCTGCCCACGTTCGTCGCGTCAGTAAGTGCGCAAGTTCATGCACTGGTGGGTGCAGAGCAGTGTCAAGGTCCGCCAACCAAACAACGGCACGCGGAATGTTGGCTCTAGAGTGTGAGTTGCGGTCTTCACGTCCGATTGAAGCCCCGTGATTCTGATTGGTGATGTGATTACACGGAATCATGGCGGAACAAGTCGGCGAACGGGACGCGAACACGCATGGCTAAGTAAGTCAGCTGCGTACGTTCACACAAGCACCCGCTAATATACCAGCGCTGGACGGGACGGCCTTTGCGGCAAGGTGGATGGCTGGTACAAACGAGCGAAACAAGTGAATATCAAAAGTACATAGTCGGGGCAAGCAAACGACCAAGTGAATAATCATGAGGTCAAATTGGATGCATCATGCGCTTCTGAAGTAACTAGTAGTTCGTCGAGTCATTTATCTTCCAATATGGTGCACTTCACTTACAACTAAGGAGCACCCTTGGTGAGCTTTATAAGTAGCTAAAGTTCAGCGCAGAATATTCTAAATTCACCATCGGCCTGCAAAGAATTCGAGTTACAGCGAGCTTTTCTTACCCCATAGTCTCGTCTAAATTGGGCAATTCACGCGGGAGGTCGCCTTCAAGCCGTTATCTTACTGTTATTGAGGTGACATAATAAACGAGTAATTCAGATGATACAAGTGCGCTTGCTTCGCGTCCAAAACGAGTTGTCGGAATAAATAGCATGCGTTGGTACATACCTTTTATACTATTCTAAACGATGTTGGTTTTGAAACCAATGAAAGACCCATATAATGATCGTTCTTGGGCAAATATCATCCAGCGATATGGTTCACAGAGCAAACAAAATGAAATTTGTTCAGCTGCAAAACTTTTTTGGTGTGTAGCTGCCATGCCACCCAAAGGAAGCCCGAGAACTGAGATACTGCCAAGTGGTTGAGATACCGGGGTTGGGTTCGAACCCTGGACCCTCCGGTCATTACAACAAACCTCAGCTGCCCACGTTCGTCGCGTCAGTAAGTGCGCAAGTTCATGCACTGGTGGGTGCAGAGCAGTGTCAAGGTCCGCCAACCAAACAACGGCACGCGGAATGTTGGCTCTAGAGTGTGAGTTGCGGTCTTCACGTCCGATTGAAGCCCCGTGATTCTGATTGGCGATGTGATTACACGGAAGTCATGACAGAACAAGTCGGGGCGGATCAGCAAACGGGGCACGAACATGCATGGGTAAGTAGGTCGGCTGCGAAGTCACACAGACGCACATACACACACACACACACACATAGACCAGTGTCGGCCAGGATGATCTTTGCGGCGAGGCGAATGGCGTGTACATATGAGCAAAACAAGCGGAGGGCGCACTGAGCATAATTTTACTCAACGGATTCTGGAACAGAGGGTGATTGCGCTAATCGATCCTGGCNAATGAAATTTGTTTAGCTGCAAAACGTTTTAGGTGTGTAGCCGCCATGCCACCCAAAGGAAGCCCGAGAACTGAGGTACTGCCAAGTGGTTGAGATACCGGGGTTGGGTTCGAACCCTGGACCCTCCGGTCATTACAACAAACCTCAGCTGCCCACGTTCGTCGCGTCAGTAAGTGCGCAAGTTCATGCACTGGTGGGTGCAGAGCAGTGTCAAGGCCCGCCAACCAAACAACGGCACGCGGAATGTTGGCTCTAGAGTGTGAGTTGCGGTCTTCACGTCCGATTGAAGCCCCGTGATTCTGATTGATGATGTGATTACACGGAATCATGGCGGAACAAGTCGGCGAACGGGACGCGAACACGCATGGCTAAGTAAGTCAGCTGCGTACGTTCACACAAGCACCCGCTAATATACCAGCGCTGGACGGGACGGCCTTTGCGGCAAGGTGGATGGCTGGTACAAACGAGCGAAACAAGTGAATATCAAAAGTACATAGTCGGGGCAAGCAAACGACCAAGTGAATAATCATGAGGTCAAATTGGATGCATCATGCGCTTCTGAAGTAACTAGTAGTTCGTCGAGTCATTTATCTTCCAATATGGTGCACTTCACTTACAACTAAGGAGCACCCTTGGTGCTCCGGAATTTTTCCGCAATTGCGTACAAGCAACAACCGAGCTTGAAGCACTTTCTTCCTCCCTCAAGATGTTTGGGAAAATGACCCTTTACGCATGGTGAGAATTGAGCATTAGTTGAAGTTCGTCTTTGGTTGTCTGTACTCTCTCCGGTGCCCAACGATGCGGGCTCGTCATCATCATCATCACCATCATCATCATCATCAAGGACAGCAACATCGGCGTTGGCACTGATGTTTCACTGCCGTACAACCATAATGTTCGTCTAGTTTGCATATATATATATATATATATATTTGAGGTAAAAACTATGAGAAGACTTGGTATGGGAAGGAAGACCTATTTTCTTCGAGTGAAGCATGGCGAGATGGACCAAGTGGTTAGAGCGCAAATTTACTGACCGGCGGGTCCGTGGTTCGAACCCGACCTTTGACTCTCGACTTCCCCTGTGTAGGCTTGGGCAACGTAGCAGCATCTCAGCGCTCGTTCTTCCTTCTGGTAGCATGGCGGTTCGGCACCAAAAGAGTGCTGCAGCGGAACCGCAGCTCTGAGTGAGAACCTGCCTAATCCATCACAGCTCATCTACGGAACGAAACACAATGCTTGAATGAGGTGAATTTTCTTTTGTGCTCGCTGGACCATGAAGTTGGAACCAAGTATCAAATTCCTTCGCGTCGGATATCTGACCCGGGTGTCAAATAGTGATTGGGGCGCACTCTCTTCCTCAGTAGGTTCGTAGATCAAGTCCAGCCTGTTCGTTCGCCCTGGCAGTATCTCGGACCACGCAATTCAGGGTCTTTTCAAAGTGACTACACTGTGGGAATGGTTCGCCGTAACTTATGGCATATGCGTCAGTTCGTCAATTGTGGCAGCGTGAATTACTGGAATTCCCGAGACACAGTACGTAGAAATTGACCTGAATCGTTTGGATTAAACACGTGTTTGGTACCCCGCGACACTCCACTAGATCGAGTTCTTCATTTTGTTTGAGAATTTCAACCTCAATAGTGAATGTTAATCTAGATGGAAATCTGAAACAAGGCTGTTGTAGGGGGGAACAGAAATGTAGGAACCTTGCCTCTCTATCGATTTGGTAACTTGTACTTTTCTCACTTTCATCCATTTACCCTCTCAGCACCCATCGTCGTGGCCATAAACAAAATCGATAAAAAGGAAGCGGATGTGGTACGTGTTTTTCCTGCACAATATCCGTTGATGTTGAATGTCCTTGTTTGCACGCCGTTTTATTCCTTCGTATACAGGTCACGGGCTCCGAAAGCCCCTTTTCTGATGTGTCTGCCATATGCTTTCAGTGGGGGGCGAGATGGTCCAAGTGGTTAGAGCGCGAATTTACTGACCGGGAGGTTTGTGGTTTGAACCCGACCTCTGCCTTATGACTTCCCCTGTCTGGCAGTATCCCAGCCCTCGAGCTTCCTTCGGGTAGCATGGCAGCTAGGCACCGGAAGCGTGTTACAGATGAGCGATTTTTCATGCTTTCAGTGGTCGAACGCTTCAAACTTAACCTCTTGCATCCTAACGCAAGAAGCCGGGTACATGATACTGTACACCATCCCCAGCGCGATGGAGAACCTTTTTGAACAGCTGTCTCCTCGTCCAGAGGTTGTTCCTGCGGGTCGCATTTATCATCAGACGATAAAAGTCCAATTTTAGCTGGGTGTACTTTGAAATTCTTCCCTCTCTTCAGTTCGATGTCTGTGACTATAGGGTGCTAGCTAGACAGTGAATCCGTGCTTTCAAGCCCTTCTGGTGCAGCTCATTTTGTGCCACTTGGCCCACACACCAAACAGGACAATTTCACGTAAAGCTGTCTTCTGGAACCCGTTTCCGGATTCGCCTGTCACTTCGAACTGTGTCGATAGAACCCAGCGCATAGCGGGTGATGCCCAGTTGGGGGATTAACATCAACCTATGCAACTCGTAACCCTTAGTTGTCAAGACGACCGGGGTCAAATAAACCGTTGAATCCCATGATGTATACGAATGGTGGCCTGGTGGTCCCCCAGTAATCATCAGTACAACGGTCACTTCTGGCACCAGAAAGTCCAGAATTTCGTGCGAACCACTTGCAAATTTATACATGAGGTACAAACAGACTACAATAAAATGAATTACAATGAAGTGGAATACAACAGAATGCAAATAGATGCAAAATAAACGTAAGTCGATGGTGAAACGTAAAAGCAGACAACCTGGCAGCGCGAACCAAAACCTTGATTTGACTAAGGGACGTGGCAAAGGTTCCCCGGAAAACAGCAGAAGTTGTCCACTACCTGCCAGATTCTCATGTACTAATAGGAGCAAACGTAATCGCGTGTTGCGTCATCCCACGTTCTAACTTCATGACTTCCATTTACGATGAAGTGGGAAATTGTGCTGTTCGTGTGTCCCAGGATAAATCATCCATCGCTTCAATTTATCCTGGCTATTTCCCACTTTTTTCGAGTTTTTCGTGATCTGTGACTGAATGCAAAAATGTTCATGCGACCGATAACCGACGAAATACCTTTCGTCCAGCTCCCCAACATGTCTTTGTGATCGATGAGGAGGCCTTGCTCTGTTCGACCACGTGATCAACCACCAATAAATGCGCCCAGCATTCCTTGCGACTGACTAACTTAACTGGATGTTTGTAAATATGGTCACAGAGCTAGGCGAATTCGTGATGTAACTGTGTTTGAGAACGAATGGGTTTATCGCCAGAAGCGGGGTGACCCCGTAATCATTTTGTGTACTGTTCGTTTAACGCGTGCCTCCAGGCATTTCAGTTGAGGTTCTAAGCTTATCGTTGGTGGTATTTTTATCATACTACCATGAGTAGTGTTCATTTGTGGATCAATTCTATGTTCCCATTTCCTTGTGCTCGTTTTCAGGCCTGTGTGATCGAGGAGCTGGCTTTGCACGGTGTTGTCGTGGAACAACTTGGTGGTGAAATTCAGTCGGTTGAAATTTCTGCCTTGAAACGTATAAACTTACACAGATTGTTGGAAGCCATCTGTCTGCAAGCGGAACTCATGCAGATCCGTGCAGATCCAACCGGACCGGCCGAGGCTGTGGTGCTTGAGTCCAAACTGGAGCATGGGATCGGGTAGGACGAACTTTGTTGTCTCACTGTCATGTTCTGTGTTATGGGGGTGGCGTTCCACCTGACAAAATCCACAGTGACCCATTTCCCCAGTTTTATCGCGATGCTCACTTTGTCCCTGTGGCAGCTCGAAAACAACTTCGGTCTCCTTAAGGGGACGGTCGTATTTCTACCTCCGCCCCTGGCGCATACCGCGCAACGGCTTGGTCATTAGATGAATGGAGTGATATCCGCGGCATGTATTTCCAAAATAAACTAATACTTCGTGTGGTACGTCTTACTGGATAGCCCATATCTCAAATCTTTTTGGAAATATGATCATTTTTTGAAACCGCTATCCCCCCGAAGAGCGGAGACTACAAATAAACGGACTTTCTGGACGAACCTTTCGATGAGGGGGAGTGAGATGTCACTGCGACCTTTCCAGGGGAGATAACTCTTTTCTGAAGGAAGGGCGTGATCTAATCATTGTTCACAACCTTATAAAGGACTTTGAAACCGACAATGAAAAGAGGCTTGTGACCGCCTTGTGTTCTGACAGAAATAGCGAGCTTTCAATCCGGACTGCCAAGTTCACTCGATGAGCTGCAGTCGACTACGCGTTCAGGACTCGCCGGATAAATGTCAGCCTTTCCGCGTTACGAAAGTGAAAATAGCACACAGCGTCGTGGGTTTAAATATGATGTAGTGAAATCCATCCGGATTACTGTGGCGTTTGCTGTGCAAGATGCTTCGTTTGATCGCGGTCTGAAGACATGGGCTAACCGACTTCACCAGCAAGTCAGCCGGTTGCGAACTGGTTAATTTGCCTTCTCCAGACGAAATTCGAGTAAAAACACCCACAGGCAGTGAACATTGGGCATTTTCAGCAGTCTTCTTGACCAGTGGATTCAGAAAGAGTATTTTGAGGCATTTGAGAACAACCAGACTGAACGGATTTCTTAGGCACTCACTGCTGACCTAAGTGCCCTTGGTTAACATCTGTTTTTTTCTTCGCTAAATACACTCATTTGCAAACTAATTTGGTTTTGCGAAACTCGGGGACTGCGCCTACCGGATGAGCCCCAAGAAGGGCGAAACCGCTCGTGAGCTGTCGACGAATTTTCAGCAACCTTATGAGAAGTGCATTACGAATATACATGTATCGTGATA